ATCTGCCTTCCAATTCCAGACTCATGACGGGTATGAGAGACTATTTCAACCAATAGAAACCAGACAAAATACAACTGTCTTTTTTCTATTGAAATTTAAAATACAACAGTCTCTAATATAGAGAACAAAACGCAAGATTACATTGTCAAAAGGGCCAATGCACCCTACTTTTAATGAAATGTTAAAAGGATATATACCCCTACTGAAAATTACCAAAAAGGGTGACACATAAACATAAAGAAAAAGTTTCTTTAAATTCAAAGCACAAAATTTAAGGCAAGCCATGGATGGCTATCTGTTTAAGAAGTTTAGAGATTTTTGGTATCCTTCTTGAATCCAACTTTTTGTTTTTGACACTAATGAATATCAAGTAATTTAGCTACATTTGTCACTTTTGAAAATAAAAAATTGGATCTAAGAAGGATAACAAACAGGCTCTTAGTTTCTACCTTCTTACTGAGTCCCTGTACAGCCTAAATATATGGCTTTTTAACTTGCATGCAACCATATAAAACATTTAGTTTAACCTTTAATTGCTAAGCAATTCAAAACTGTCTTAATGACAACATAAAAGAAGATAAATTGGCAATTACCATAACAACAACAAATCTATCAGTTGTAGGCTCAGGACCAATGTGAGCTCCTGTCAAAAGTGAAATAAGATAAGGGATGAAATAGATGAACACACTTTCTGTGCAAGACAAACAATTACACAAAGATACACTTTCCCAGAGGATAACTTGCCTGGATAACTACTTTTAAGCAAATGTTTAATGAATGTTGTTTTCCCAGTGGAGTATTGACCCAAAAGCATAACCATGGGTTTGGCATCAAAATCACTATTTGCCTGCAGAATAAAGCAAATAAATATCAATTGATAACTATAGCATGCCACAATTAGATATATGTATGAGAAGATCCAATAAAAAAAAATGAAATAAAACTACGAGGGATTGGGCATTAAATCTGATGAAAGAACTACAAGCAAGGAATAATTCGCACTCACCAGTAAGGGGGACACAAAATCGTTGAACTTGTAAGTAACTTCTAATGGCTTCAGCTTCTGAACATACAGTCTCTTCAACCCATCAATAATTGATGTTACCGAAGAAAGCGGTACCTAGAAATATGCCACAGATTTTTTTATAAGGTATTAAACGGAGTGCACAACTCATGTCTACCCAACAGTATTGCAAATTTCATCACAGGAAAATTTATAATCAACTCTGACATATCACGCATAAAAAACCTAAAACTGACGTATGCAAGGTTCTCTCTCCATTTTTTTCACCATGTAAAATGGCCTCTTCTAGCCTTTCTTGTGGACGCTGAGTCTTAATTGACTCAAAGCTTTCGCATGACCTTCATAAACTTAACTAATAAAAACATAAGTATTTTGCAATCAGCTTGATGTATAACAACTCAGAGAGACTGAAACGCAATACTATCATAAATTTCTCACGAAAAATGAAAAAATAAACTCAACTTATCCAAATAAGAAAATTCAAGTTCGTATCCAATAGAAACAATTTTAGGATAAACCATTTTTTCTGAATACCATGAAAGCAAAAGGGCAATTGCCTCCAAAAATAAGAAACAACATATACCTTTTTTGCTGATTTTGAAGAAAACCAAAGCGCTGAAGGTGATTGTTGCACCACAGCAGTTCCTGCATCACAGATTATATGTAAATAGACAGCCAAAACCAAAAGTAGCAGTACACATCTGATAGTTAGAGAAAATCCTCACCATTTACTTCATTTTCATTTGACTTGTGTGTATGCTTTTTCTTCTGAATAAATTAAGTAAATGAAATCAAATTGCTTCAGCCATTTACAATGAATTAATTATAAATAAATAAATCCATAACAATGAGTAACACAAACAAGAAAGGTTTAAAAAGCATATGTACCGCTGATAATAATGCATCCAAACCCTCCATAACAGGAGGCTTCAGACTTTCCAAGTCAACTGAAAATTCAAAGTTTAAGTTACATGTGTACTAAACAAGAAATTAAAATTAATAAATAAATAAAAAATACTTGTGCGCTATTCATATTTATGAAGAAGCAGGTATTACAAGTTGCCAACTTATACATGAGTATCCACCAAGCATACATTCCAACACAAAGTTAAACAAACAAAACCCACCATTGCTATTCTGTAAACCGTGTGTAATATCATGTCCAGCTTGTGCAAGAGAAACTAGCTAGAAACAAAACAGTAACAACATGTCAGATTCCTATCAATCCAATATTGATTTTTGTTATATATGGAAAAGAAAAATAACAGTTTATAAAATAACCTGCATAGCGGCAACGAACTCATTAAAACCAAGATATCCCTGCCTCTTTGAATCGGCAACGGCCCAAACCTTAATAAAAGGAACAAACTTAATAAAAAAAATAAAAAAACCTCTATAAAGCAGATTGGAAGCCACCAAAAAAATTATATTTGACAAATGTATTGTAAAAAAGGAAGGGGCTTTGCTACAAATGCATTGTGATGTTTGGCATAGATAATAATCTTAAGCTTGAATTAATCAAAGTAACCCAATCTGCAAAATCAGATGCCAACTTCAACGGCTCTACTCGCGTATTACGCGTCACAATAAATCCGCATTGCTCAACGGAAATACAAGCCCTCAATCCTAACAAAATGTATTTCTGAAACATTAACTGAGCATAGACTAACCTCTACATCAAAAACAAATTCACCAAATACTAATAGTATGGAATTACAGCAAAAACGACAAACAAATGAAAACGAGACGCACTAATTTGATAAAAGAAAATATCAGATAAACAAAATAAACCGCAAATTAACCTGCTTGAGATCCTGCCGATTCAGATTGGACATGCCGAAGAACTTTATCGCATCGCCCCCGGTAATGCGGCCATCACTGTCTGAACAAAACCACAGGAAAAAAAAAACTCAATTACAGTTGCTCAATTTTCTCGGGAACCAAACAGAAAACCAAGAAATTTTCCTGGAAAATGCGTGTTGACAGACTGACAGTGTAAAATGTAAGCGCGCACCTGAATCAGCGAATCGAAACCATTCCTGGTAGATTTTCTGATGCTCCTTGGAGCACGAAGTGATCGGAACTGAAGAAATTTCCATAAATCGTAACCCGAGAGAGAAAGAATCTGATCGAATTTTTCAGATTTAAATTTTCCAAACTTTTTAAAAACGGAGACGCTCTTTGATGGGTTTGTTTTTGTTTCTCTTTCCCCCAGGGTGTCCTGCTCCTTACCGACGTAAAGGCGTTAAATCTTGTTTCGCACGCGTCGTTTTGATGAGTTGGCATGACGGGACGTTTTACGTTAATCGGAGGTCTTTAGGAAGTCAAGGCCTGAAACGGCGACGCATCTGTTTCGTTTTCGTAGTTGTGTGTATCGCAAGTGGCACGCGAAATAATTGGAAAGTTACTTGTCAACGTGACTAATTGCGAATGTAATGGAAATGGTGACTACTTGATGTCAAGGTGTAACATCCAAACCTTACAACAGCAAAATTCTGCTACTAAATGTCTTTTTCTATTATTCGTATTAGTGGAAGCCAACCAGAAAGTACAATAAACTAATTACAGGACTTTCATAATCGAGATTTAGGAAAAAAAAAATGACAAATCTATATGACCATTTCGCAGATGGACACATGACTATATACAATTTGCTGCAGGAACGAAAAATTCATGTGGTAAAAATGAGTTGGCAAACATTTATGAATGTAATCTTCAAACCATTGTCAATAACAAGCATTTTTGTTGGTAAAAAATAATTAATTTCATTAATGATCGTGTATATACAATCTTATACAAACAAAGCAAACACGAAAGAGTAAAATGACCCAAGTAAAAGGAGAGAGACAACCTAAAACAAAGATGGAGGCCGTTAAAACTTAGTCCTAGAAAAATTAGACAACAAACCATAACAAAAAAGAAACCCTAATTTCCAAAGAAAGATGCAAAAAGTAAATCTGAAAGCCAAATAAAGTCATCAAGAGCTGCACCATCCACAACCACATTTCCATGGGAGATCAGATGAAGTAAAACACGCTTGTTATGACGTGAGTTGGGTACCACACTTGGCCTAATTTTGTTGACATGCCAATTCGGCAGTGAGTAGGGAGAGATGGGTCTTGTGAGAGGGGTTACGTTGGGGATGGGGAATGGGGTTGGTGGGTAGGCATTTGGAAATTGAAATTAGGGCTTGGAGAGAGGGTGGAGGAGATGAGGAGATGGGCACAAAAAGCAAAATAGTGGAAAGGGAGCGGCGATGAACGTCGGAATATCATGTCACCGACTCTCAAACGGGCAACGAAGTCGGCGGTGGTGAGTGAGGCAAGGGAAGTGAGTTTCTAGAGAAAAGGAGGAGCTTTCTCTCTAAACCTCACGGCAGAATTAACACTTTTGTCAATACAAAGCTTGAAAAGTTCTTCTACATGATAAGCTTGTAACTACATGAATCCACGATGCACAGCTCAATGCGAAATAGTTCGTGAAAGTTTCTATTTGATAAGCTTGTAACAAGGAAATTAACACATTTACATTGCTATTTTTCCAATTTTCTCAACTAAGGATAAAAAAAATTGTCCTTCACTTGTACAAGGAGACGAACGACTAAAAAAGACATGCGTAGTCTGGTCCGCGTTCGACATAATTTCTCTTGATGGAGGCTCTCAATTCCCTGGTGGCTTCTCTCTTCTAATCTACTTCCTCCTAGCTAGTCATTCATTTATTCCACCCTGACCTCTTTTCCTCACTATTACAATACAATTATAATTACGACGACGTACAAATTAAAGAGAAGTAAGAGAACAACTATAAGGGGAGATTTACATATAGTAGTGAAAACTAATGGAAATTAATATTATATTAGACCAAATATATACATCTCCTAAATGCACCCTCCAAATTCCAAAACCCTGTATTTTTCCAAAACTCCATTGGGTTGCAATAATACACAATCCTACACAGTCGCTGTTGGACTATTGTCTCAAGAAATTCCAACTGTTTTACCCAACAACCAAAGAATCAATGATAGCTCAAGCATAAATATGGTGTGGAGTGTACTCCTGTCCAATGTAAATCCGTATATAGTAATACCAGCTCTATTATTCTCCAGATATGTCACTGCAACAACAATCAATATTCAATATCATCAAATTAAGCGATACAAAAACTAATGTGTGTAGAACATGCGGGGTAATAAAAATGCATGTGTCGATATATAACATGTTGCTGCATTTTGTTAACTAAATGTCATCAACACATTATCTAAGACTTATCGACGGTTTGTTCTTTATTCAAGACACTGTTCTAAAAATCTCCGCCTAGGCGCTAGGCGGCTAGCCACCGCCTCGATTAATGCTTGGATGTTTGAAAATTAAGAAATGGCACTTAGACCTGCTGAGGCGCCGGCCTAGACTAGGCGGTCGATCGGGGGAAAGCTATCATCCAAAGTTACCCACTTAGATTGCGACTCAATTAGACAGAAAATAGATAACTTTCATTTGCATTTTATTTTTTTCAATAAATTGTAAGAGACTTGTTGAATACTTAAACGAATAGACATTGTATGCTTGTTCCCCATGTTTTCATTATGTTCCAATACTTCATAATATATATGTCACTCTATTTTGTAGTTTATGATGTAAATATATATATTCTAAGTATAAAAAGACACTTATTTACACGAAATATGGTAGATTTACTTAAATCCACCTAGTCCGCCTACACACCCGCCTAGGCCCCGCCTAGCCGCTAGGCCCTAGGCTGCAGCCCGACTGGCGCCTAGCGTTTTTAGAACCTTGATTCAAGAACGAAGCCCCTTCCATGGTCAAAATCTCTATGTAAACTATCAAACATTATTTTCTCCATCCCATCATCTAGGGGATTCTTGTGATTCCATTCTTTACTATAATTTCTGATCAGTGCAAACTAATCAATGAATCAAAGTTGTTAATGACATGGATATGTGCTATTTAATTAGGCTGGCTTACCTAGAGCTTGTCTCTTTTGATAAGAGATTGTACTATATGCATATGATGGAACAAACTTGGCGTTTTCCAGTTCATCTTGATCATCACTTGCCAAATCACTGTCTGATTCTCTGTCACTACTGGCACCAGAAACCACTCGGCCATTCCCGGTCTCATCAGGCGGCGGAGAATCTCCTTCGTTCGCATCAAAGGACTCCAGTGTGGCGCAAACATGCCACTTTGTAGCAAGGCATGTGACTGCTTGGGCCTTGTGGGTGATTTTGGTTGCACTGCGCAGTAAGATGAGGACTCCAGTGACTAAAGTTATGGAGCATAGCTGTACCCAAAAAAATAAAACATCATCACTGAGATTAGTTTTTGTTCATAAAATGATTCTCTGAGGCTGGAAGTAACCCAGTTGATTATCATCTCTCTCACTCATAACCAAATTAGTCCTTTCTCTTCTTGAAAAGGAACTGAACAAACATTAAAATGGATCCTCTACGGATTCCGATGTTATACAAATCAACCCGTGAAAACTGGAAAAGAAGGCATACCACAAGTTCACCGGATCTATAAACATCAAGATTGGCAGTGGCACTAGCCCTGGTTGTGATGAGCAACAAGGAAAATTGGCTGCCCGTGACCAAGATCAATGACCATAGGATGAAACCTCGGTATCTATGACTTATGATTGTTAAGTGCCTCCGGATCCTAAGGTGCTCGGACAACACTGACCCGACATCAGATTGCTCTTGGAACACAGTGGCAAAGTCTTGGAGCCGTAGGATTTGGAGGTAGCATATCAGACGGAACAGAACGCACACGAGGAAAAACACAGTTGTACGATACAACCACGAGCACAACTCCAGCGTGCACGCTACCATGTCACTTACGTAAACATTGCCCAGAAAAGGCATTTGCGAGGCTCTAGATGCGTACCACCAAATCTTATATACACTCTCCGCGGCAAAGCATGGCATTACAAAGATGCAGAGAATCTTCAATGATCTCTACAAGGAACAATATATGTGTGACTTTGAGAAACAAAGAAAGAAGATACAAGTACGTACCTACCTTGTAGTCTACTTTTCACGTAGTGAAAAAAATGTTAATAGAGCTATTTACATTTTACAGAAACCCAACGACATGTATCTTCTATGTTCAACTGAATTCATCGAGTCTGCCCAGTCCACATCTATGTAAAAGCCTGGTTTCGCCCTAACCCCGCTTATTAGTTTAATTTCTACTCATTGTTTTACATTGAATCAAATTCTATAGTTTCATAATGTTAACTTTTGGTGTCATTCGATGCAAGGGTTAGTTTTGTTAGGGTTCCTTAATTATTATTGTGATGAATTTCTACATAGTTTCTATTGATGTACTGCTTTTCAGATTGGGTGGTTTTGTATCTAATCATTTTCTTCTCAAAAACTAAACCCTAACTTAATTTCCATTCTAAGCACAATTCATATTAGTAAAACAAATTGTGAAAAAAATTAATACCCATTAGAAAACAAAAATCAATGGAAATTTTGAATTAATTAAAAAACTCACATTGAGCTGTTGTGTGTATTCCCTCCTGACCGTCTCGCTCTCATTATAAAGCTTATCGAAAAACAAGAACCTCCGGAGCCCAAACTTCCTCACAAACCATGACAGGCACAGAAACGATACCGTCGCGACGCTACTCAAAGACAATTGCACTACACCATCGTAAGGTCTCTTGTGCTTGCCATCGCATGATGCACATGTGAACACAAAGTGGGAAATGGCAGGAACAACGATTGCAAACAAGATGAATATGGACCAAGAAATGCATGTCCTCCATGCATTAGATTGGTCCACACACATCCATCGTACGTACGATCTAAAGCTCTTCAGTTCGTCTTGTACGTGTGAAACACAGCGTCCTAGCCCTGCGCTTGTCTTGTTGTTCGGGTTTAACAAGCCCTCCATGACATCGTTTCTCATATCGGGGTTTGATGAATTTTGTTTTTAGGGTTGAATTTGGTTTCCAGTTTAAGAAGAACATGATTGGCTTGGGAGTTTTGAGTTATATTTAGAAAGTGTTTGCAGAAAAATGTGGAAACAATAGGTTTGTGTTTTGTGAGTGATATGATGTTGTGGAACGACCCATTGTGGATTATATATTGCACAAGGTCAGGTGATGTGCGATTTTTCTTTAGAATGTCTTTGTTGTAAGTTTGAATGAAATTAAACCTAGTTCTTTTGTCCCCCATTGATTAATTAAGAAGGTTTTCCAACACTAATTTATAAGATTATGTGAATGGGAAGTGTTATTAGTACTCCAAAAATCTTATTCTACACTCCTCACAAGTGTATTTTTTTTTCCTAATATAAAAAATTTGGAATGTAGACTGAGATTTTTGAAATGCTAATAATAATTCCTTATGTGAATAAGATTTAGTAAATTGGATTACACATAGAGAAGTTCGGGACTTGGGCCTAGCTATATATTAAACGTCAAAAATGGCCTTCGGCTCAGGCGAGTTCAAATAAAACATGTTTGGTTTTCATCCTTTAACAAAAACGACACAAAACATAACAACGAAAAACCTCATCTTTTCTCTATCACTATAATATATTTTTCTTGAGAGAGATACTTGTACGCTCGCCAGATTCAAGTTCTTGGTGCTAAGAATTTGGATTGGTAGAGTAGTTCAGGTGGACAGAGCCTAAAGGACTCCAAGCATCCGAATAGAGGCGAAATTCTGTCTATAAAGGACATTGTAAAATTTGCAAGCCTCTATCACTTCATATTGTCAGTTTTCGAAACTTTTTTCTTTTTTATACTGTTGGTTTCATTTTTACTGTTATATACGTGGCGTGGTATACCTGATCATTTGGTCAACAAGACGTACGCAAGTTGACATAGCTCCATATATATGTTCTTTTGAGCTTGAATTCATAAATAGAATGAAATAATGGTGAGCCTAGTAGGGCGACGAACACGGCTCAAGGGTTTCTATACAAAGCCGTTCTCTTCTTCACTCAAGGGGGCAATGCACTCTTTGAATGGTACTTTATTCATAAAGAATGAATCTTTTTTTTAGAAGTTATACGGACTTTATAAAAGTAAATGCCACGCGGAGCGTGTCACGAGATATGGGGCGTTCTAATCGAAGGGTCATACTTCTCGTCTCGGTCCTATTAGGGTAAGGCCAATGCACCAGCCAGCCGGTGTGGTGGCGAACACGATGTGCTGTAAGCTAAGCTGTTCACCTTGTAGACGGAGGAGATATAGAAAGTGTGCCGCGCGTGATTCATAAGATTATATAGTAACACCAGTATATTATTTTATTTCACTTAGCCTGCCTCTCCCATGATTTTGCGGACCAACCAACCCCTCGCAAGTCTCTCTGCATTTTGGGAGCAGAGCATGCAGTATGCGGCGGCGGTGGCGGCGAGGGGGGGGGGAAGGGGGTGAAGAAAGATAACTCTAGCAATATAGACCGAGCCTGCTTCCCATTCATTCTTTTATAAGGATGTTCTTCAGTTGGTCAACAGGGCACGTCCCTTTCTTTTCTGTAATAGAGCCTCTATAATGGGTGCACGGAAACAAAAATCCAAGATGAATACTTTCAAAGAACGAGTAAGGGATGAGGAGGCCCTCGAAACCAAACAAGACCAAAAGGAACATGTGAATTAGCACCATTCCTATGATTTGTCTCGAAAAGCCAACGAGCAACCCTATCTCTATCTCGGTCTCGATTTAGCATCATATATCAATCTGGGAAACATTTTTATTGGTTTTAGTGCAGATTAAGGAACCCCTCCCCCATGCTATGACTGCGGACGTAGGGGCTACCCGCTGCCGCCTTCCTTGGTTTTTGGTGGGAAGTACCCCAATCCTTTTTTACGGGCCTGGCGAATCCTGAAAAAGGGTTCTTGGGGAAGCATGGTAGGGGAAGGTAGGGTCTATCGCCGCCTAATAGAGGCAAACTCATATACCTTGATATGTATGCTTCGTGGAGAGATAGAGAGAGACGTTGATGTGTCAATTGAATGCAGTATTTTTTTAAATTCTACAATTAGCTACACAAGTGGAGTCCGTTAAGTTTTCTTATGTCCTCGTTGATGCAACGAGCGCCGCATTTAGTGACTTCTTTTGTAAGTCAGAATATAAGTAGTCATAGATGAGGTTTGCTTTTCCCTGAATTTTTATTTAATATTATTGCAGATGATGTAAACATTTCATTACAAATTTAATAAAAAGCTCTATCATTTGACGAAAAAACCTCAATTATTACTATTTATTAGAAAATTGACCCAGACCTTTTTTTTCTCCTATGGAGCCATGAGAAAGTCACTGGCGTCAGGTTAGTACAGTTCTCATGCTGCTGATTTGGCCCCGCGCATATTTAGGAGCTTCTTCTTTAGTATAGAATTCAAAATAACAACAAAAAATAAAGAAGCGGTTGGGTGAGAACAAGAAGCGGTCGTCGTCCAGCGGCCGAAAACTCCGAATATAGGCCTAGACCGTTTGTACACCGGCCGAGGAATCCCTTGTTCGGCATTTTGTCTGAAGTTTTAGTGAATATGTGGACACAATGATAGTTATAAATGGATAAAGGAAATAGAGGCTCACCAAGAAAAAAAAAATTCCAAACTATGAAACATAAAAATTATAAAAGAGAAAAAGAAAGAAAGAAAGAAAATTGGATGAATATGCATCCCCAATTGCAGTGCAAAATTCCTCTCCCGGCATGGGCCTAGCAACATAAGGGCAGTCTGATGTAGGACCTTTCTGTTAAGAAATTCCGACGGTCTTTCCCAATAACCAGAGAACCAATGATAACTCCAGCATAAATATGGTATGAAGTGTGGTCCGGTCCAGTGTAAACCCAAAAATTGTGATTCCGGCTCTATTATTCTCAAAATATGTAACTGCACAAGAAATATACACGAATACAAATGTCAACACCATGATTGATACATGTTTCAGTAACGTCATACGTATAAACAAGTTGTGTATTTCTTCTATGTCATACGTGCAAAAGTATGTTATGTTCTAGTTGAGAGATTCGACGTATGATTGTATCGTGTTTATGTTGATCCTAGTCACATTCGAATGTACCATCAATATGACACAATCATGAAGTTTTTAAATGTGTGTTAACCGATTTGATGCATTGAAGTAACTGGCTTACCGAGAGCTTGTCTTTTTTGGAAAGAGATGGTACTATATGCATATGACGGGATCAGCTTGGTGTTGTCCAATTCATCTTCATCGGCATCACCCTCCTCATTGTCTGATTCTCCACGTTCCGTACCAACGGCCTCAGCCAGCGCTCGGCCGCTGGTAATCTCAGCCGCCGCTGCATCGAACGAGTCTAGTGTGGCGCAGACGTGCCACTTGGCTGCGAGACATGTGACGGCTTGCGCCTTGTGAGTGATTTTGGTTGCGCTGCGTAGTAGGATGAAGAGGCCGGTAACCAATGTTATGGAGCATAACTGTACCAAAACCAAATCAGAATATAAGCTTTGACTTCAGTTTAAGGAAAGTTATATAACAAATATTCCTCTAGTTTTCGACTCGATTAAGAGAGTATGAGGACAAGACACTTCAACTATATAACAAATATTCCTCTAGTTTTGGGCTCGATTAAGGGAGTGTGAGGACGAGACACATCAACTCTATGACATACATAAGACTCGCTCGTATTCTATAAAAGGTGAACCACACCTATATTAAATAATAAATGAACAAACTTATACCGACTAGCTATTGATCTAGCAATACTTTCTTTTTCCAATGTTAGAAGATATTTCAACTTCAAATTTCTCGACTCATAGATAAAAGACAAAATAGTTATATTAGTAAAACAATTATCAATCAGAAAACATTAAAGCGACATATAACGTACCACAAGTTCACCAGCTCTGTAAACATCGAGATTTTCCTTGGCGCTTGACTTGGTAGTGATGAGCAACAAAGCAAACTGGCTCCCTGTGACCAAAATGAGAGACCATAATATGAACGCACGGCACCTGTGGCTTATGATCCTCAGATGCCTTCTGATCCTAAGGTGCTCAGACAACACTGAACCAACATCAGAGTCCACTTCAAACATTGTTGCAAAGTCTTGTAGCCGTAGGATTTGGAGGTAGCAGATCAGACGGAACAGAACGCAGACGAGGAAAATCACGGTGGTCCGGTAGAGCCACGAGCACAACTCCATGACGCAGGCTACCGCGGCACTCACGTATACACTACCCAGAAAAGGAATTTGTGTGGCTTCAGATGCGTACCACCATATCTTATACACACTTTCAATGGCAAAGATTGGAATGACAAAGAAGCATAAAAGTTGCAATGATCTCTACAAGAAAATTACCACACCCTATATAAGTCCAAGAAATTAAATTGAGTCATTTCGTTTGATAAATTTGTTCATTGTAGAACTATGTTATAAAATGATATATAAAGGGCGTTGATAACTATTTCGTTTTCATTTTTTGTTTTCAGTTTTCTTTAAAACTCAAAATTGAAAACCCATTTGGTAACTATTTCAGTTTTCAAAAGAGTAAAATTGAATACCAAAAGTTGAAAAAATGAAACTACTTTCTTGAATTTTCAAAGTGGATAGTGATGATATCTACACACTAATTTTTACTTCTCACATACCCTTCTCAATTTTCAGGCGTTGGATCGCATGAATTGTAGAAGATCAATGGCAAAAAATAGCAAGGGTATGTGGGAGGTAAAAATGAGTGTCTGAGTAGCACAATCCTTCAAAATTTAACTTTCAATTTTTAGTTTTTCATTTTCATTTTCTTTCTTGAAACCTGAAGATGGTTACAAAATGGGTTTTCAATTATTAAAAAAAAAAAAAAACTAAATAGTTATCAAACAACCCTAAGTATTTCGTTTATTTAAGTGTGCGACAACTCTTAATAGCTCACATAAGCAAGAAACACGGCACATTGGTAAAGAAACATAACATATAATAAAGGGTAATGTAAGGACAACTAACTATTTAAACTAAATTTATTAAATCATATAACATGGTTGTTGATGATTAGATTATTACTAAAGTGTTTATTTCCTATTAGCAACACATCATGATTTGTAAATTTTGATCTAAAAAGTTGGTTTACCTGACATTAATCAATAATAAATTAAAACAAAAAATAATTAATAATGTAGAAAATGAAGCTTGTAAAACTTACATTGAGCTGTGCTGTGTACCCCTTCCTTACCGTCTCGCTCTCATCATAAAGCTTATCAAAAAACAAGAACCTTCGCAATCCGAACTTCTTGACAAACCTTGTGAGGCAAACAAAGGACAAGCTCGCAACACTGCTCAATGACAATTGCACCACACTATCGTACGGCCTCTTGTGCTTGCTATCGCAGGCTGCGCAACCGAACAGGAAATGGGACACGGCCGGGACAACAATCCCGAACAAGATGAACATGAACCAAGAAAGACATGCCCTCCAAACACTGGATTGGTCCACGCACATCCATCGTAGGTATGACCTAAAGCTATGCAGTTCATCTCGCGCGTGTGAGACGCAGCGTCGGAACTTGTTCTTCGATCTGTTTAACAAGGCCTCATCGACCACGGTGTCGTCTTCCATGCGATGTCGAGTAATTTCTTCAACGTGTTTGATTTGGTTTGAATTCATGTGTGAGTTTGAGAAAGGAGGGGGACAGAACAATAACAGGGAGGGTGCGACAGAACATTTGTGTGAATAAATTAGTCATATTTGGTTTTCAATTTGTTGGTTAATTTGTTAAGTTTGAGTTGTTTCGGGAGTTTTAAGTTATAAATAGAAACTATAAAGTGCTGCAGAGGAATGTAGAATTTATATATAGTACTAGTCTAGAAGGATTGCGGTACAATGTAAACCCTAATAAAACCCTAATGGGAAAAAAGAATAATTGTTCCTTATTCTTTGATTTGTATAAACGAAAGGCAGCTCAGTTGTTCAATGGTCCATTCATCTAAACTACCCATTAACAATACCGTCCTTGTAAACCAAAAGAGAGTTGAAAAGACAAGTTAGTTTTCGATCACAAAATAATATCATGGGCAGTAATGTAATTTGATTTTTTATTTTAAACATCACCCCACATCCCATATATAATCCTAATATATCTTTAATATTAAAAAATCAAAAATAAAAATCTCTCTTCCCACTCCCACGTTCTCTCTCTCATTTCCATCTTAAAATACGCTAGTATAAATTAAGGTATAAATTAAGGGGTTAATCACCAAAAGAACATAGACAATTTTTTGTTGAAAGGGAAACGAACATTTCATTAGGGGAAAAATCAATGTGTTTGGTTAAATAAACAGGTTTATGATACCACGTGCAAGAGGAGAAACTTTTGAGTCCGAAATCCCAGAAATGGAACGTCTCCAAGGCAATCCCTCGGGATCCTCCTGACCAGTGTTAATGGACCGTTGAATTTTTATCTAACAACTACAATTATTATAATTTTTAGAAGATCTCCTATTTGTAGCTGTTGGATAAAAATTCAACGACCCACTAATACTGATCAGGAGGATCCCGAAGGGTTGCCTCAAAGAGGATCCATTTCCCGGAATCCCGACCAACACAACCATACGACAGAGACATGAAAATACTCTTTGGTCCCACCCTCCTCTCTATTTTGCCCTACCCTATTTGATAAGCCTAGTCCCGAGTGCCGGACAAGGTGGGAGTCATGTCTTGGCTTTCAAATCTTGGCATCTTTTCTTGAAAATCTCCCCAAACGTGGAGGCTGTAATTTTCCTTGCTTGAAAATGAATCCAGTTATAATCAGATCCAACGCCTTTCAAATACACATCGATGCATTCAATCCGACAATCCTAATCAACGATAGTATGTTTAGCAATGGATTTAAATTTGATTGTGGTGAAACCCAATCTGAACCAATCTAGTCCATTTACCATCCTACATGACGCAACATCATCCAAACCATTCATCACAACATAGTTATATCATACCAATACATTAAATACTTTATAATAAAAAGAAAACCCGAAATTTGAACTTCAAAGGTCTCAAGAAGACACAACGACGACGATGCAAAAGAACGAGAAAATTTCTTCAAAAGTAAAGTTACATACTGCAAGGCGACTCAGTTTGTTAATTCCATAATGGCAGAAACAATGTCACCGTCTGTTGCTTTGAGTGCCTTAACTGCTCTTGATCTTGAAACCCCAGCTTGAGTCATCACCAACTCAATGTCCTTGGGCTCCACACCAGTTTCGTCTACATCTTCATCGTCTTGAGCCAAAGTTGATGGCTCTGGGTTTGCTGTCACAGTATTTAGATTAGGAGCCTTGAACTGCTCCGCGGCCTGGGTTTGAAGCTGTGAGCTCAGGTCCTCAATCTTTGCTTCCCCAAAAATGACATACGTGTCAGATGCGGGGCTCTTAAAAACATCTGGCTTTGAGATCACGAACAGAATCTGAAAATAACAAACCTTACTGCATTAATTCCATAAATCAATCTCATGCAAGCTGACACAAAATGCGTGATAGCAATAAATCAACACTTACGTTCTTGCTCTTCTTGACAGTCACACGGCTGACACCTGGAATTCCTTTCATTCCAAGTTTCAACATCGCTTTGCGACTCTTCTTTTCACTTCTGCTCTGCTTAGACCTACCACTTGCATCTCCTTGTCCTGCCACAGTGGCATTTTGACAACAAATTACACCCGTGATAAGCAAAAAAAATTGGCTATACAATAATGTACAACTTCCCAATTACTACCCACAATTTATATATAGCAGGAGGGGTAAGCCAAAATTATTTTATCAAGGTGGGCTTAACGGCAAAACAAAAGAATTCAGTTAAAAAGTTATACTAAAATTGTCTCAATATGTCATCTCTAACTTTTGACATTTTCAGCCACAAAACCAGACAATATATAGGCATATTGCTTCCCAGAAGGCACCAGAAAGAGAGACAAATGAGCTAAACTAAGAAGACAAGCACTGCATAATAAATTGAAGACAGAAACACCACCTTTTTCCTATGCCTTTTAAGTCAGTCTAGAGATGGCATTCACTAAGATCTTCAAGCAAACTATATGCTTGAAAGAGCGAGAGCATTTGAGGGGAAAATCATAAAACAGTTTAGCATCACATTTAAGTCTTCACAGTGCAATTTACCTTCTACATCTTCATCTTGGTCATCATCTTCATCATCGTCATCGTCATCGTCATCTTCGTCCTCGACTATTGGCTCATCATCCTACAACCATTTCCCTCAAAATTTCATGCCCCATAAAAGAAAAAGGTGAAGCATCTTGAAGAATTTATTCACTATCCTCCACAAGTAAACATCAACTCACATGTAAGGAACAAATCATATTAAGGAAGAGCATAGCCTACGCACTTCCATTATATTGTGCATAAACTTGACAAAGTATGCAAACAAGTTAAAGATAGAACATTATAAACCTCCAAAGACTTGCCACATTCTTTCTCCACTAACCTCTCGTAGATAGGAAAATCAACTTAGATTAGTGAGTTGTTATGATATGTTTTGCAGTTCAGGATTGATTCTATAATAGCAGGGCCCAAATTAAGTCAACATATTTGGTACTAACCCAGTCAAAAGGTGATAATGCAAAATAAACACATCTAATTAAATGTAACCAAAAAAAATCCTATATGCTTCAGGGCATGAGGCATGAACTAAAGTAAAATACTCCAGTTAACGGAATTCAGGCAAAGAGGTAACAATGTCAAATGAGTGATCAAAGTTCAAAAAAGAGTAATGATGAAAGATTGTTTGATATGGTATCTGGTATCAGGATCATCCATACAAATTGATGAGATAGATATAGAAATACTGATTTGCAAGTGATCCAATAGGATAAAAAACAGAATAATTACCAGGTTGGTACAAACTTAATGACAGGTGCAGAAATTAAAACAACGAAGAACCTTAAGAAAGAAATTCGGGTCAACAGCACCGATCAAACTGGCTCAATCTATAGCCAAAAACAAGTGTTGCAGTATTCCACCTGGGTATACTGCTCATTTAAGATGATATGAAAATTATCTGAAATACAAATAAATGAATAAAGAAACAAACCATTGCCATCGCCAGCCAAACCAATATAGAAAGAATGACAAAGTTGATTTCTCCAATATTGTAAAGAAAGGTTTCCACTTAACCTAATAGCTACCACATAACCAACAGAAGCAAAGTCAACTGGATATGACTCCATTAAAGATAGACACCATACTAATTCCAAAAGGCTGACAACAAAATAGCGATTCATAAACCCTTCTTGGGGTTACAGCTGACTTCACTTGGTAGGAATCCATTTCACATTTGTTGGTCACTGGATACAAAAAATCAAACAGCATCCCAGCTAAAAAGCAAACACGCAACAAATAAAATCACACTTCGACCGTTAAATCTTTCCAATTTAACCTAATGCATAAGGCAAATAAGAAAAATATCACATAAAACATGCCTCTACTCAATTGAAACAGTTGGTAAATTGCGCATGAACCCCATTAAAAACAACGAGAAATGAATATATATATATATGTGTGTGTGTGTGTGTGTGTGTGTGTAGAGAGAGAGAGAGAGAGAAAGATTACATTAACTTTTTGCTGTTCGAGTTGGGCAGCAAGGAGCTCTTCCTGAGTTTGGGCAGTCATGCTGTCACAATTTGATAATAAAAATGTGTAATTCCAGTAGAGAATTATTCTTATTCAGATCAAACAAAAAAAGGGATGAATTTATAAGAACAAGTAAAAAATTTAAATTGAAAATCATTCAAATTAAGTTCTCAAATTTCAGTGGAGAAACAGAAATTAGAATTCTAATCTACCAAACCTTTTCTATTCTAATCTATACATTAAGATAAAACAATAAAAAAAAGATAATCGATTCGGCACTTAACTACATGTTATATAAATACATGAATATTGGAGTTGCAAAGTTTCGAAATGACAGAAATCCCCAATTTGAATGTAGAAACATAAGTTAAACGTAAACCCTAATTCGAATTAAAACCAACATTCTGCAATCAATTAAACAATTCAAGTAAAACAACAGATTTAATTAGATTCACTAAACAAATCAAGCAAGATAAGAAATTAATTTGCAAAAAGAAACGAAACACTGAGAGAGAGAGAGAGACAGAGAGACAGAGAGCGGTAGAGAGAGAGGGAGGGAGGGAAGGAGAAACAGAGAGCGGGATAGAGAGAGAGAGAGAGAGAGAGAGAGAGAGAGAGAGAAGAGAAGAGTTACCTTGGAGTTGGGGCAGATGAAGTAGAAGCGTAAAGGGGAAGAGGAAGGAGGAGCCAAAGCAGCTGCGCAATGCGAAGGAAATTTTCAGGGTTGAGCGTGTTTTTTAGGGTTTAGCGATTCAGATCCCACTCTGCACCGTTTAGTCCTGACCGTTCACGCTGATCGTGCGGCCAGGAATCTATTTTACATTTTTCCTTTTCTTTATTATTTTCCTGTCAGTCTATTGTAAGCCATCAGTTTACGACAAAAAGAAAATTCATTTCGACATTTTTTGAGTAAATTATAGCACTAGTTCGACAGGAGCAATGATCCTTCAACTAAAAATTCATTATCATTGGTTCAATCAACTCATCAAAATGTGCAGTTATGGTCCTTCAACTAAAAATTTATTACCACTGGTTCTTCAACTTTAATTTAATTAGATAAATAATTTCTCAACTTTAACTCAATTAAAGCAATGGTCCCTCAACTTTAACTCAATTGTAGCAATAATCCTTCCAACATAACTCACTTTGACAAAATTCTGATGAAGTTGACGAAAATGACTATAGCTACACGTTTTGATGGGTTGATGGATCCTAATTGTAGCAATGGTCATTCCAACATAACTTATTTTGACAAAATTCTAACGAAATTGACGAAAATGATCATAGCTACATATTTTGATGAGTTGAGGGACCAATAGTAATGAATTTTTAATTAAAGGACCATTGCTCCAATTTAATTAAAATTACGGAACCATTGCTACAATTTACTCGCATTTTTTCTTGTGCGTAAATTGTATCAATGGTCTCTCAACTAAAAATTCATTATCATTGGTCACTCCACTCATCAAAACGTGTAGCAATGGTTCTTTTCATCAACTCCGTCAGAATTATGTCAAAATGAGTTATGTTGGAAGGATCATTGCTACAATTGGGTTAAAGTAGAGATGTCATTACTCCAATTGAGTTAAAGTTGTGGGGCTATTGCTCTAATTGAATTAAAGTTGAGAGACAATATAATTTTTCTTATTTGATTTTCCATATTTGTCTCGTGATTTAGCCTCGCGTGCATGACATATGACTCATTTTGAACGAAGTTCTAACGGAGTTGACGAAAATGATCATAACTGCACATTTTGATGAGTTAAGAGACCAATGGTAATAAATTTTTAGTTGAGGGATCGTTGCTACAATTTACTCTTTTTTGTCGAGGTCAATTAGACCATTAACGAGGAGATTATTTTCTTAAATTATATTTTGAAAACCACTCTAAAGAAGAAATTCAACTGTCAAATCATGTGGTCTACAAAAGAAGAAATTCAACTGTCAAATCATGTGGTCTACAAAAGAAGAAATTCAACTGTCAAATCATATGGTTTACAAAATATAATTTAAGTAAATAGTTTCTCTAACATCAACTATAACACTAGTATAAAGAGTGCATTCATATGAAACTCTTTGACAGATGAATCTTTGCATACGCACTTGGTAGTCTTGGCAGCTATCTCACAGCTAACTCAATCAACCCATAACCACAAACCAACAAGCTTGAATAAATTACTATTAAATGATAATAAACCTATTCATTACATGTCTATGGGAACATAGATGATTAGGTGAAGTTCATAATAAGAAAATTAAGCTCACAACATTCATTCACACATTGAATCAAACACTTACACTTTAGGAAGAAAGAAAAACAAAATAAGAGAGAAAGAGAGCAATCAATCGCCGAGGGAGAAATGAATAGGAAATAGAAGGGGTGGTAGTCAGTTCTTATCATACAAGTTTTCTTTTTTTTTTAACAGAAAGTCAACTTTCATTAAAATAAGAACTAGTACAAGGCCCAAAAATGACCGGGTAAACAACTACAGGAAAGTAAAAGGCTCAAGCAAAATGAGAGCAACAACCCAATATACAACAGGAGACCCACATAAGCTTAGGCTCGAAGGTAGTAGAAAACAGAAAATAAAAAACCTAATCTCCAACAACAAAGACCTCGTCGCCATCGTCGTCACATCCTTGGATGAAACCAAACTCCGAACTGAGAAAATAGACATCAGATCCAAATTCCTTTCACAAACCCCTGCAAATATATACAAACAAAGTATTATATAGGTAGAGGGTGAAGCTAAGGGGATATGTAAAACACCCAACAATTGGCCTCAATGGGGATCCGACATATGCCGGTTGGGGGATGGGATGTGAATGAGGGTAATAGATTTGATATCCTTCTCCCAATCGAAGCCCGCCTATCCGTGTACATAGTGGGTTGGGATGTAGTATCACATCTAACAAGGAGGGATGACAGAAAGTTAAAAGACAGAAAGCAGTAAAATTAGGCAAAAGATGCCAGATAAAGGCATAAAACCCAGATCTGAGACAAGCTCAGAGGATAGTTGAGACCCAGCTCAACGAAAATTGAGATAAACTCAGAGAGAATAGGGAAAAAAAATGAAAGAATGAGACTAGAATGAAGAAATGAAGAGATGGATGCACGGAAGAGGATGAAGTAGAGACAGTGAGAGGGGAGGAAAAAAAGAAAAAGGCAAAGAAGTGAAGGAGAGAAAAAGAGAAGGAGGAAGGAAGAATGGAGACTGGAAAAAGGAGGAGGTAACGGGGTTGTCGCCTACCCCGAGTAAGAGTAAGGGGCGACGGTTGAAAGTTGCAACCGGAGAAAAGGCTCTGAATTTGGGTTTCTAGAGAGAGAAATTAGGGAGGGGGAGAGAGAGAGAGAGAAAGAACGTGTTTGCTTTCTTATCATACAAGTTAAATAGAGTGAGGACAACGTGAAGAAAGTAACCAAAAAGCGGTATAATTAAAATTCTTGAATAAAATCTAATTCTCATTAAAACCAAATGTAAGATTGAATATTGATTTTGGTCCTTGGAATTTATATCCATCTCAGCAATTGTTACCTAATGATTTAACTAATTTCAAACGTAGTTTCATTAGTTCCTAAATTTCCCATGTCCTCCAATCTAGCTAGTAGCTACTAGTTGGCTTTCCTAAGTTACCCACAGGCAGCAGCTATCGCCACGAACGGATCAACAACTAATGTTGGTCGCTCAGTTACATCGTCAATGTAGAATATGCTAACTAGATAATCATCGAACTCAATTCAGTATAAGATCGAGTAGTAGAGTTGTAGACAACTTGGAGGAGGACAACATAAGAGATCCCAGAGCGACAGAGCACCGCATGGTAGTTCACATAGAGTTGCTAGAGTTTGTGCACATTTCAATTTAGGGGCCTAGGCGAAGCTTAACATGATCACAGGTACACTGAGTTTAGGGAACTAAACTGTTTTTAAGGGGGAAAGATGTGAAATTCCTTCTTCGTATATCACTATTCCATTATCGTATGTCGTGTTTCTACGATTTTATTTTATTTTGTTAATTTTAGAGGTTTTGGTTTTTTATTTAAGTTCAAATTTATCACTGGCCAATAAAAATCTGTAGACCTTTTGGGGTCACTATTGGACTTTTTAGACATAGCTCAATTCCATGAGCGTGTAGAAAAAAATTGTTAGCGAAACAAAGTTTTAGCGAAGAAGTTATAAGCAATCAAAGTTAGGGCACATGTCATTTAACACCTTCATATATAGTACACCCCAAAAGAGCTGGAGCAGCCTTTCTTCATTTAGAACCCTAGCTCGTGGGTTGACCAGTTTAGCCCTCCTAGACCAGCGATTTGATCCTGTTTTTAGGCAGATCTTCCGACCAATTTTCGGGGCATTTCTATCTCATTAGTTCCTAAATTTCCCATTTCCTCTAATATAACTAGCTACTAGTTTACTTTCCTAAATTACCATAGGCTTACGAGCCGATTAGCAACTAGTGTTAGTGGCTCAGTTGCACCTTTAGCGCAAAGTAGGCTAACTAGATAATCATCAGACTTGATTCAATATAAGATCGGGGCAGTAGAGTGGTAGACAACTTGGAATAGGTCAACATAAAGGATCTCATAGTATCAGAGCACTGCAAGGCAGTTCATAGATAGTTACTAGAGTTTGTGCACTTTCCACTTCGGGGGACAAGGTAGAGCTTGACATGACCACAAGTACACTAAGTTTAGGTGTCTAAACTGTTTTTAAGGGAGAAGAATGTGAAATTCTGTCACCACACTTCATTATTCAGTTACAGATTTTGTGTTTCTATGATTTTATTTTATTTACATTAATTTTAGATGCTTTTGTTAGTTATTTAAGTTCGACTTTTTGTCACTGGCAAATAAAAATCTATAGATCTTTTGGGGTAACTCTATGACTTTTTAGACAGAGCTCGATCCACAAGTGTGTAGATGAAAATCTTTCGCTAAACGGAGTTTTAATGAAACAGTTATAAGAAATCAATGTTAGGGGCATTTATGTTATTTGATACCTTCATATATAGTAGACCCCCAAAGGGTTGGAGCAACTTTTTCCATATAGAACCCTAGCTCGTGGGCTGACCGCTTAGCCCTCCTCCATTAGTGATCTAACCTTGCTCATGGGCAGATTTTCCAACCATTTTTCTAGCCAAATCCAGCTCATTAGTTCCTAAATTTCCCATTTCCTCTAATCTAGCTTGTGAAATCCCGTTTCCGAATTTTACTATTTAATTTTACGTATTTATGCAAACTTTTTTTTTTTAATTTGAGAATTTTAGTTGACTAGTTACAAAATTTTTTTTTTTCTCGTAAATAGTCATTAAAAATTCGTAGACCTTTTGGAGTCAATATTAATACTTTCGAGTAAAGCTCAATTCCACAAATGTGTAAGCGAAAACCATATCAAAGTTATAACGGAGGAGAAATAAGCAAGCAAAGATAGGGCAAAATGATCATTTGCACCTCTATTTGTAAAAGGCCCAAGAATCTAGGAGAGAACCCCCTCCCCCTGAATTGGCAACCCGACAACCCGGTTCTCTGCGAATGACCCGGTTGCATGGGTAATTTTTCGACATCGTTTCTGACGAGTTCCGGCATCGCCGGTCATCACGACTTCCTTTTCCACCTAGCATCATTTCGTTTGGCCACCTGTCGTGGCAGAGCAAAGCTCCAATTTTCCCAAGCTTCTTTGACGGCGATTTCGTCGTTCCTGTTCAATCGACATCATCCACCACCACCAATCAACTCACTTGGGCCCCAACTACAAAACCCATAGCTCAGA